TGTGAGGGGGGGGATGTCAGTGAGGGGAGGGGGGGGTGCAGCGCCGCCGCCGCTTCCCTGAGCCCCGCGGTGCCCGTCGGGCGCTACGACCCAAACTAATTTCCCCACCACGGAAAAGCTAGAAGCCGTCTGACACCCCCCCCACCCCCCGCCGGGGGTGGGGGTCCCGGTGCTCCCCCCCCCGTCCACCCCCCTCACGGGTGGGGGTGAGGCCGCCGCCGGGAGCGCGGGCCGGTGTTTCTGCCTCTGAGGGGCAGCGGGGGCTCCGGGGAAGGGCGCAAGGGTGCTCTTCCCGACGAAGAAAGTTTGGGTTTGTTTTTTTCTCTCTCCCTAAAAAAGTCGCCTCGCGTGCTGCCGACTGAAACTGCTGCTCACCCCCGCACTAGGTCAATTAAAAAAAAAAAAAAAAACTTCGTTTGATAAAAAGGCAGAAACGGGGCAGCTCTGGTAGCTGGCTCCGGTTTTAAATGCTGCTGCTAAGTCGTTTCGCTGCAAGGAAGGTGACCGCAAAGTTCCGTTTAGTTCTCTCAAGCTTTTCTTCTTCAATTAAACGATTGTCTTTCACCAACAACGTGCCAGTCCTTCCCCCTCCATTTTCATCTCCCTCTTTTGTTCTCTTTTCAGCCGCTCTTAGACAGCTGCAGGCTTTCACAGAGGTATTAGGCTGGACCAGCAGCTTCTGGTCAAATTACAGCCCAGGTAATTGCATTTTGCCCCCTCGGCTCCCAGGGAGTTATTTCCCAGCCCCAGCCCTTTCACGGCTCAGCCCGTAGCCAGAGCCACGCCACGGCAAGGGCAGGGTGCTGAGGCGGTTCCCACGCATCTTGCACCTTACCTCAGAGACGATTAGTAACCCGGAGCAGCCAACCTTTGGAAAAACTCGGAGTTATCAAGATGAAAAGTGGGATTGCGGGGCGACGGGTTCTGTGCCGCCCGTATGGACCCAGCTGGACAAACGAGAAGAAACTTGCAGCCATTTGAGTGATGGAGCACGAGATGCTCCGTCTCAAAACCTGACCAGCAGCAGCTACCCAGAGCTGTCAGCTCCAGCGTGTTGGGTTTGGGGCGAGGAGCGCGCCACGGACAGTCGTGACTGATGATGGATTTCACACAATCGGCCCGCAGCACCCAGAGCACCCATCGCCCAAGACACCCCAGGTCAGCGGTGAGGGAAGGGGATCATCTGGAGAAGGAATTAAAACCCTGAGCCCCTGCCAGTGACCTGTTGGGGTGTCTGGCAGCCCCGAGTGACAGCAGCTAAATGCCTACCTACATTCACAGAGGTATTCCTGCAAGATCATTTTCTGTAAACCTGGGTTGGACTGACATTTTCATAATAAGAAAAGCAGCTTCTTGGTTCTTTTATACGTAGCAAGCAAAATACTTTCCCAGCCCCATCCTTTGAGTCGATGGTTCCACCGATACTCAGTAAGGTGGACCTCTTCCAACAGCGACAACAGACGATGAGCAGATAGTCTACTTCTCACCTACCATCTAGCCCATATGTATTCCCAGTTAGGAGCCTCGATCGCAACAAAACACCAGCACCAGATCCCCTGCAGAGATTATCTGTAACAGGTACTTAATATATTCAAGCTCAGAATCTGTCTCAACTTGTCTGGGTAAAACCAGAGATAATAGCTCACCTCATGATGCTTTTGTAAAACTTAAAACATTTGGCACTTCGCAAAGTGCTTCAGAACGTATTATTTGGCAATAGACTAATTAGTAAAGATTTTTTTTTTTCCTAGCTGTTTTTACAAGCTGATCAGGTAATATCTGTATGATTTAAAGTCTAAAGCACACAAAAAAAACCCAAACGAAAATATGTGAAAATACATGAGCAACAGTCTTTTCTACTCTGCAACTTTTCCTTCACTTTCCTGTATCAAGCAATCTCATAACATTAGCTCAATCTATTTCAATGTAAACTAAACCCATCACTTAAGGGCCCAGATCCTGTAGGACACCAAACTCACGGGGTCCCATCAAACTGAGCATCTTGCGGCTTTTAGATATAATTGAAACATCATATATGTGTTAGAGTGGGCAAAAAGATGTTTAAAGCCTAGAGATATTCAATAATGATCACATAGTCTATTAAACTCCATTATCTGCTTCAACTTTGTTTTATTTTTTTCTAAAAGTCTCTGAATTTTTACTACTACTACTACCAGGTGTAGTTTTCTGAGGCCTTTGGCTCAGTAGAAGTGTTCTTTGCCCTTCTCAAGCCAAATACATGATTGCAGGAAAGCAAATACGACGTTTCATTTCAGTCATTTGAGGAGCTCACATGCTGTTCTGTGATTC